CGCATTTCGCCAATCAACAATGATACATGTTGCATATTCTTGGCTTTAGATAGGTTTTTTGACAATGGTATAAACAAAAAATCAACAAAACTTTATTTTCTTTGAAGAAATATGTTTCACACCATAAATTTTGGCGATTATGGATAATGATTGCTATTTAATAATGGTTCTAGACTAAGGCTATTAATCCTAAATTAGACAAAAATATTATATAATCAAGTTTTTTAACTGCATATTCATCTCACAATAGCAATAATCTTGTTTCAAGAAAAGTATTATGTAAATAAAATAGGAAAACAGAGTGCGTTATCCATACGATACATACGATACATTACAAAAAAAATAAAGGGGAAAGGTTTTCAGTTAATAATATGATAATATGTATTATTATATATACATATAAATGAACCTTAAATAAAGTTATAAATTTTTATTATGTTTCACCAATTCTATATAGGGTGCAAGCCAGTTTATAAAAACACATTTACAACCTGACGGGCCAGACACTGTGCTCGAAAATAAAATTGTATTTCATTGTTGTTACATACAACTTTATTTAGATTTTACTTGTAAATCAAAGATTTGAGCGTATTAAGTAAAGTAATCACAGTAAAAAATGAAGAAGAGTAGCATTAGAAAATTTGTTGAACATCTTGGAAGTTTAGAGTGAAATTACTGATATTTACAGAAATTATAATAATAATAATAGTAATTAATATTGAATTAATCAATTCATCAACAGAAATTAAGGTTAGATGAAGAATTAAGTTGAGGATGATGTCTTAGATTATCAACAGCATATCCTTGTGTAAAGAGTTGTTAGTCAAAATGTTTGAGCTTCTATCAAAATATTTCGTCGTTCGACATTTAGGCTGTCGAAAGTCTAAATTGATGTCGAAATGCCTAAATGTTGTCCGGTGCCAAAAAACCACCAGAAAGCGTGGTTAAATATTTAATCAATATTAAAATATCCAAATCAAATTAATATCATGTATTATTATTTGTTATATTTACGAAAAATTGAGTCGCAATGAGGTTATTATTATATTGTAGCAGTTCTGCGAATGATCCCAAGAAATGAGAGCATATATACAGTACAATAAAAAAATATTCATTATATAGATTTTAAGATAAACAATTGATTGAGAATGTCCAATATTCAACCTCTGCGATCCAGAATATGCGTGATGAAGAATTTAACGCAATGTAAGGAGCGAAGATTTTGTTGGTAGCGTAACTTGTAAATAGTCAATATCATTTAAATCATATTTATACAGCTTAACATTTTGGCTATATTTAGACATTCCAATGGACATTTAGACTTTAAACATTTCGACATGTTTCAGCATTATGGCAAATAAAACGTCCTTGACGAATATATTTCAACGGTTGAAATACCTAAATGTTTGTTGAAACTATATATTTTAACAAGTATTCTTAAAAATATTCTTTTCCCTTTAATACATATATACCCTGATAAAAGTTTGTGAACGATGTTTTTCATTAATTACACATAATAGAGAAATACATAAAATTTTAACATTATATAGCCTAGACTCTTGTACGTTTTCATATAAATTTTGATGTTTCTAGTACTTATTAATGAAAATCGATTAAATTTTAATATAAAATTGTATCACAAAAATTATAGTTTTGGAAAATAAAACGTGATTTTCAATACATCTAGATTTTATTTCTTCCTAGATCTAAATTGTGATTGGCAAAAGGAGGCTATAAAACATGTAACACATCCAAAAAATAAATCGAAATCGGAAGTTGCAGTGAAAGAAGAATGGTTAAAAATACATTACGAAGCTTTATAAAAACTCATTGAAAGCATGTCAAGAAGAAATTGAGCCATGCATTTCTGATGATGTGTGGCCCATTAGATATTAGTTGGTTTTTTTTTCAATTGATTTTTTGAAAATCTTTTCAAAAAAAAGTATTTCGTTTTTTTTAATTAATAAAGTATTAAAAATACAAAAAACATCAAAATTTATATGAAAACGAGCAAGAACCTAGACTATCTAACATTAAAATTTTATGTATTTCTATTATGTGTAATTAACGAAAAACATCGTTCACAAATTTTTGACCAGTGTATATGCCAAGGACCCTAAACTCTATGAGATTAAGGTTAGACCATGGAATCATATGTCGCTTTAAATGGGCTTTATGAAATAATATCCCCTTATTTAACGCCTTACCGTCAAGACTTAAATATATTACAATTAATGCTTATATCTTAATTAACATTTTTATTAAAGATTTATCACCCAAGAGGTTAAGTAATATAAACAATAATAAGGTCTTAAATTTTTTTAATACTGGTTACAAACTATTTAAGATTAATAATAATAATAATGAAACTAAGTTTTAACCATTAAAATTGAACTTTATGTATTAAAAAATCAACTTGCAGGATTTCAAATCAGGTTCCGGCACCAACTTTAAATATGGAATTATCACCAAAAGTAATAATAAATCAGTAACAGGGAAGACCATCATAACCATAACACAACGGGTGAGTTTTAGCGAGTGCCTAATAAAAGTCTCGATATAATGGATTTACTAATAAATCCCGGTTCCCAAATAATCGTTATATCGAGATTTCACTGTTTATAAAGAATTGTGGCATTTAGTACATTAGTATTAGTAATTTGAAGAGCTCGGGTCACTTGGTCCCCGTCAATTTCATGCAGTACTTTTGAGTGCCAAAAATATTCTATAAAAAATTTTGGGTTTGAACAATCATAATTAAAAAAGTTATTGCATTTTAATTTAATTTGAGTAACTATATAATCTGAATTTTGTCAGCCATTAACAAATTTACTTACTTTCTTTCTTTCTTTGTATTGAGTATGCCGTCACTCACAAAAAGGAAAACCAACTTAAATAACTTGTTCTGAGAAGAAAAAAAAGTTTCTTTAGAAGCTTCTCATTATGATAATAAAATAATAAATTTGATAACGAATCAAGCAATAAAATCGATAACGAATCAAGAAATGTGATAAGTGATGGTGAGGGATACAGGTTTAGATTCTAGTAGCAGTTATTTTTAAAAAGTCTTTCAAGATGAATGAATAATTATAAGCCTCCTGCACGTCATTCTATTTACTTGTGAAATGTACCAAAAACTAGGCGTTCACTCTGAAAAGGCATCAATTATAAAACCAACTAAAATCTCGTTGATCGTCATATCGATAATACTGCGCTCTCTTATTGTACAGGTTTAAGCAATGATGACAAATTAGTTCTTCTTGCTCTTTGGAATATATATCATTGGAATTATCTCATCAATTGTGATGTATTCAGGTGCAGATATAGGATTAATAAATGCGAAAAATTTTAAAATTGTCAATTTCACTGTCAATATCAGGCATACCAAGTTTTTTTTCAACAGTTGATCATAATTTGACTGGTAATCTTTTCCCAAGATCTTGCTGTAAATTTAATTGTAATTTTTGGTTATCTCTTCCTCTATTAAAAAATCATCTTAAAGTTGTTGATTGTAAGGCTCCGCGTAAGTCCAGCTTGTGAGGAGCTTTAGTTAATTGTTCCGGTGTCACGTGGTTGTAAAAATGTAGTGGTATTTGGTTAGTTAAAAATCTATTGATTCAAAAAGAGAATGAACAGGATAATTATTTAATTGATAATGGCAAAATTTTCTATTTCATTATTTAAATATTTTTTAGATAATCATCAAAGATAAGTTTTCATCCAATAATTATATATTTCCGAAATGTCTTTTGGAACATTTTTGGTTGCTTTTGGATGTCCATATTTATGGATCAATTTTTCTGTTCCAAGTTGGCGTTATAGTTATTATTTGTTTCTTCAAGCTACTGGGTCAGTGGGTAGCACTCTAGAAGGTTCCAATTGCTAAAATAAATCTGTCAGGCAATTTGACATTGACTCGTAATATGCTCAAGTTGTCCTCTATGTGATGGCAATTCTAAAATAGGGCACTACTAGCTTCATGTATTCTTTAATGTTATGCCTTTTTAATATTTTACCACCAATATCTATATTTGCATAGCCAACGCTTGATCATTAATTTCTTCTTTTCTTTTTATTAGCATCATAAGAATCAGAATCATCACCAATTACAAGTCAATTTTCCTTTATCTTTAAAATCTTACCAACATTACTTTTACCTATACCAAAAGCATTTGTCAGGTCTGCATTCACGAGAAATGGTGCTGTTTTGTTTTGCTAAACGTATTTCTTTTTTTGTCGAAGACTTCCTTCTATCCGAATATGACATTATTCAATTGACTTGTGCTGTGTAACATTCGAAAGGTTTTTTCTAAGGTATTTTTAATACAAATAATTACTGATAAAGGGTCAATGAAAAAAATTTATAAATCGATTGAAATTAATTCGTTTTGTTATTTACAATAACAATAACAATGATGTAACAATAGAAGAGAAATATATTTTGTGAAACCTTTACAATTGTTTATTATTATTTATATGTGAAATTACACATGATTTAAAAAATTGGTGGCACCAGAAAAATAAAAATCTATTGACAATTTTTTTCAATTAAATTAACACGACAGTAGAAATAACGTCCATTCACCTTTCAATCTTTTTTATCGCCGTTAATGCACGCATTTTCAATTATTCTAATTAGGTTAATTAGGTTAATACCAAAGTTACCTACCTGTCTCACGATTCATGTAACTATTTAAAAAAACATGATCGAGGGAATTGAGGATTATGATATCCAATTGAAATTCATATATCTAATAAAGAGAAATTTTCTTTATGCGCCATGCATAAAGCCACTAAACTTTGAATGGCAGAATATCTTTATATATTATATAATCAATTCAAAAAGGTTTTCAACAATCACTTGTCTAAAAAATCCAAACGATAATTTTAATGGTTTTTTTAGGATCATCGTCATGAATTTTTATTTATTTATTAATTAATTTATTTATTATCGCAAACGAGTTTTGAATATCTGGGATATATTAATAATATGCATAGGATCATATCAGAGGACAGCTATTAAAAATGGAAAGATCATCTTAAAAAACCTATATAAAATTGAGCTTTAGCCATCCATGTAACATCTGATATGACTGTCCAAGATCCTGTATGCACCACTTCTGTCACTATCGGATGAACCGCGGTGGCCATAATGGTGAATAGTGTAAATATGGACAAGTTCAATACGGTATGGTTCTTGCAGATAATATCATTTAATTGTTGTGTGTAATCTGAGATACGTTATCAGTTTATACCTACATATTAATATTAATATTTAATAGTGGTAATCATACATCTATCCACTATCCAATTGTTATCAAAGGATTTGTTTCTAACGGAAATCGTAATTTATTATTTAATCGGTTTTTAGTTTTTTTAATAAAAATAATTTTTTATTATTATTATTATAAATAAATGCAATTTTTATAAACACAAAATTAATAAAATATTTAACATTAGATTTATGGTGTGATTATGTACGATGTTTATGAATGGATGACATAATTAATTGCCATTAATATAAACGTAATATATTAAGAATCAAAAACATTAAATTAATTCATTTTTATTATAATAATTAATATTATTATTATAGTAGTAACGGTAATAGTGATAATAATAATAATAATAATAATTTATAATTTAATAATTTAATTAATTACAAAATTAAATATATTGAATTTATTGTTTGTACAAACCAAAAAAGATTTTTTTATAAAATAAAAAGAAAGTAAATAAATTATAATAAATATATTTTTTTATGAATTTCTTGATAAATGATTTGGTGCGTTATGGAATAAGGATTTCCATACAAATGCTTCAGATAATAAAATTTTTATTTCTTTTTCGGTCCAATTAGAAGTTGGTAATGATTGTAAGAACATCATAATTCCCTAAATTAAAATAATTAATTGATTAAAAATAAAATAAATATTTATTATTTATTTATTTATTATTTACCTGAAAATCCAATGACCTTAACTTTTCTGACCATTTAACTAAAAATGCAGCACACACGTATAAATGAAATTCTGAAAATCCATCTGGTCCTTCAGCCTTTTTTTAATTAATTAAAAATAAAAACAAAATCAATCAACCAATCAATCCAATCAATCGATTAATTAATTGACTCGTACCAAATAAGTATCCCACATTCTTATGGTATTTCTAAGTGACATTTCTCGCATCAATAAACAATTCATCCATCGAAATGCTAGTTGTATAAATTCAACTCCTTCATCTTGTAAATGTGCAGCTAATGGAGCTAAAAATTATTTTAAATAGTTAATGTATATATGTGTGTGTGTATATATATATATCATACCTCATATAAATGATATTATAATATTCATATGTATTTAAATATACCATCAATTCGATTTATTAATTCTTTTAACGTAATAATTTGTCGTTGAATTCCACGTTGTGCAAATGTATAATTGTCCTATTAAAGTAAAATTTATTTATTTATTTATTTAGTGGAAAAAAATTTTACCAACAACTTTTTTATTTTACTGTAATAATAGGATTATACTATGTAAATCATACCTGAATACCATCAAGTAATTTAGATAAACACCAAAAACTATCCGCTTCGATTACATTTAATACTTCTTTAGGAAGATTACCTGGATCGTAATTTTCTGGATTATCATCATCTAATAAAAGTTTATATTGCAGGTAACAAATAAGTATGTTTTGGAGTTAATTCCAATTTTTAATAAATAAATAATAAATAATAAATAATAAATAATAAATAATAAAGAATAAACAATAATAAATAAATAATAAATAAATAAATAAATATATATATATATAATATATACCTATATAGGCAGAGAGGAAAACTTGGAAAAAAGGAGTTACCAAATCATTTATACCCTGGACATATCCACTTGCTGGGTGACGAATTGCCCATACATATAAAATTCGTTCTAGACACTACATGATAATGATTAAATATTTTTTTCAGATCAACCAAGTGATTGATTTGTTATTATTGTTACTTTAGAGAGAATACAAGTAGTAACCTGTTGAGTTGTTTCATATTGATAAAGAGGAATTCCTGGATTAGTTCTGGGTACATCAATATGAATCTAAAGTAAAATGATAATAATGATGTACACAAAAGTCATTATTTCAATTCAAAAAAGATTTTTAAAAATTTTTTTTCATAATATTTAATTATCAATAAGCAAAGTTTACTTGATGCCATATTATATGATCTAATCCTTCTATTCCTCTCGCGTAAGCTTGAGATACACTATCTATATATTCTTTTCTTTTACGCGCCAGAGTTGTAACTCGGCGATCAGTATTACATGGTAAATAACCCTAATAAATTGTTATACAATGAACAAATAATTTAATTAAAAATTTAAGGAAGCGTATATATATATATATATATATATATATAATATTGAAACCTACAAGTAAAAGTTGCCACGTTATGGGTCTCAGCTGAGCAGGTATACCCGACCAACTAAGTTTCCTAAGTTCGGCTATTAATATATCAAGGATAGATAAATAAAAAATTTAATTATTTAATTTTTTTAAGAATCAAACCATTCAAACTGGTTCAAACTAATTTAATTTAATAAATAAATTTAAAAGTACCAATAAAACACTACCAACCTAAATCAACGTTAGGACTTGTTAAAACATTAACAAATTCGGTAGATTTAGAACCATAAATTTTTTTATTGTTTATTAAATTGATCGGATCTATGTGATATTTAAATATATATATATATATATATATGATTGTTATATATGTGTGTAAATAATGAATGAATGAATGAATGAATGAACGAATGAATGAATATATATATATATATACAAATGTACCATGCACGATTTCTGCAATTTCATTTTTAACATTAGATGTTTGATTGTCGTTAAGTGTCAATCTTTCTGCAATCGAATCTGACGAATCATTGGATTTCTCTTTGTCATTGTCGGTATTATTATTATTTAATGATGATAATGATGAAACCTCTTTATTCTTTAAATTTCTTTCTGTGGATAAGTCTTCTTCATCAGATTTATCATTCCAATCATCATTTGTCTCGGTCAAGAATTCAAAAAAATCACTTTTAGAAGGCTCTTGTGAATTTTCTTGGTTACTTAAATCTCCTACTTTATTATTGCTATTATTGCTACTGCTATTACTATTACTATTACTATTACTATTACTATTATTAATTTTGTTGCTGGATGGCGGTTGTGATAACATATGACTATTAAAAAAGATTAATTAATAAAAATATAATTATGGTTAATTGTATACTCGATTGGTCAATGAAAATAAAAACTCAATCACCTTAGACCTTCAGAATTAACATTTGACAACATATCATTATAAGAGTATTGAGCACCAATGACCAAATTTGTAGCACCAGTCTTGGATTCTACTGGTTTAACACTAATCGATTGTAAATCCAATAAGTATAAAAAAAATAGACATGTCATAAAGAAGTATATTTATAATTAACAATGATAATCTACCTGCCAGGCAATGCAGAAGTAGGACGACGCCAAAAGCCATTCCTTTTCATATAAGTATGTTAATAGTAAATAAATGAATAAAGTAAATAAAAGGTTTATTGAATCTTATTAAAGATCTTACTTTTTTCCAGAAGAATTCGGGAAAACATTAACATCGGCCATGATTTGTTTTATTTAAAATATTATAATATTACAATAATGATGATAATAATAATAATACTTGTTTAATAATTTATTTTATAAAAACTTTTTAGTAACTAGCAACAAAGAAATATTATTATCATTAAAAGAAAATGATTTGATATTTTTAAGAATTATAAAATGCATTAAATTAAAATAAATTTAAAGCAACCGACTGATGTAACAATTTGTCGATCATTTATTTTTATTATTGTACATTTTTTTATTATTATGAGCAAATTAGTCTAACCAAAGTTGCTTAAGGTTACTTTATTTTTTTTCTATCACAATTTTCTTGTGTCATTTAAAAAATTTTCCTCTTGAGGGAATAAGGGAGAGAGGACCGTAAACACTAGTACTTTTAAAAAAAAGATAATGAATTCAAATTAAGAGAGAAGGGACACCGTACAATTACTATGCTACTATGTTGTACGGTTTACATCATATCGACCAAACTCCCAAAATATCATAGTAAAAGACGTGAGAAGAATCTTTTGACACCAAGATCTTGTGAATACACGGATTAGAACTCGAGATTGTCATTTTTATCCCCATTTTTTTGAAATGACACTATCAAAAAAAAATTTTTGTCGAGAATCACATAATTCATTTATAATTGTGCAGTGACTCCATAGAGAATAAAAAAATCACCTTTTTCTATCCACTTTTTTGAAAAATTTATTAAAACATCAAATTAAAACCCAAATAGTATAATAATGGTTATGATGGTAATCCATCAGAAGAAACCCAAGGTTGAACCGAAGAGGTATGAAATATATAGGATAATAATTACCATTTTTATGCACGTGATATTTTGGTGACAGCAATACCAAAACCGTCGAGATTTGAAATTTCCGGAATAATTGACGAGCTAATTCGTGATGTGCAGGCGCACCACAATAAAACTGAACACGTCTGTCTATACATCACCAATTCATGTGACCATTAAATCAAATTATTATTGGCCAACTTTATTGGCGTGTTACACGAATTATTTTCATAATATAATCAACTGACTGACTGCATTTATTCAGAGGGTTGTGAAGTTTAACATATAAGGACAATTTTAGGAAACATCCCAAAGTGTTGCATGTGCTAAATTTATCAATGTTAAAAAGGATTCCTTGCAAATGTGGTTAAATTATTCCAATCGGAACCAACTATATCAAGTTGCAAATTTAAAATGACATTCAGAGAACAAAGATTGTAATTTTTTTTCGATTTATTATGAGTAGCGGAACAATTATCAACTTTCCTGATATTCATTAACATTCAGTGCTCTCGGCCTGTCCTTGTACAGAAATCACGTGATAAATCATGATCTGACGCGTTTTCAATAGATAAGATTTAAAAAACTGCATGTACGATCTTTTTGTGCCATCGTCGATATTCCATTTTAATATAAACAATACATTAAAATAAATATCCAGATTCGTAAGTAAGATTAAGATTATGTCAGCAATATTTTATGCAATGATCGTTCCAAAACCCATCAAAAAAAAAACAAATATAATTAGCCGATAAGGAAATTTTGTTAACTGTAAAATAAACATACATATATAGTAATAATGATATATATTCTTGAATTAGAGTTTGAAAATATATAAATGTAATTTAAATTGCGCATAATCACGTTATTATATATAATTACGATGACGCCACAATTGTATTACACCATCGTGATGTCAAACGGCTTTTACAAGCGACTTTTTCTCCTATATATATCTCTCGACTATATTGCATTTATTTTCTGAGACAATGTGTTTTTATGCCAAGCTTTGCTTATTGTTAATAATAATCATACATTGAAACATTTTTTGTACAAGAGCTGGCTTGTGAATCTATTACTAAGGAATCTGAAAATTTTAAAGTAAAATCCATATAAATAAATTCTCGTGTAACAAATATAATTCTATATTTTCAGCTTTCATCCAGATCACGTATTTTTGCTATGATCTTGGGTTAGAAATATAGCCGGATTCAATGTAATTATTTGGAAATTTAAATATACAACCTTAAAAACAAAATAAAATGTGACATTTAAACTGCAGTTTATGAGCACTAATTAATTCTATTATTGTCCCGCTGATCATTAATAGATTTTGATGAAAATCAAAGCATAAAGATACATATGAGCAATTATCAAACTACGGCTGTGTCAAAGTGAACAAAAAGAAGCAGTAATTTTTTAATTGATTGATTGAGATTTGTTTTATCAAAATTTGATTGGTTCTCGTCAACACGTGATCACATACCAATGATAAATAATGTTAATCAATTTTGTACTACCCAAATATATCGTATGTTTATGGGGGGAAAAAGACAGTTTAAAAAATTTTTTTTTCAGATCTGTGGAATTTTTTTTATTGGTTTCCTTTTCATGTGTTTCGCATTTTTTTTTTTTTAATTATAGGATATCATTACGTTATCATTATCACTATTATTATTAATGTTCAAAAGTAAGTCCTGTAATTTTTCCCAATCGAATTTCTGGCTTTCTTTTTTTGCATTAGATAATGATCCTTTGATTAATTATGTAATATTATGTATGGTTCAAATGTAAAGGCGATCCGCATAAATTTAATATGACTCGGAGTCATCCATCCATCATCCATAAATGAATAAATTAATTGATACATGATATGGAATGAGGACTTCACCATCATCATCATAAATAAATAATAGTAAGAAAAATGGGCTTCGTTGAACCCCATATTTATCAATTAAAAGTATTAATTAAATTAAAAAAAATTTTTATTTAAATTTAATGACAATTAAATCTAGAATTCCAAGTATTATATAATATTGGATGTGACTCTGGACCATTATTTCTTTAGCCTTTTTTCTAATCCTGGAAGAATTTAAAAAACCTTAAAGATGTCACAAAATTAAAAAAACGTATATAAATAACTAGTTAATCATTGTGTTAGGGAAGGGCAGAAAATGTGATTAATTAGGGTTAACCCCCCTCCCCTCGTGGCTCAAAATTCAGGTAAACAAAGTTTTTTTTTTTTCACTATATAGATTAAGTGTAACGTGCAAATGTTGAGAACCCCTCCCCCAATTTATAAACACGTATTTACTTTGTTCTATGTATAAAATAAAAAATATAATAATATAAATAAATATTTATATTACACGATATAAATTATATTTATTTATGTATAATAGTTACTTTGCTATAATAATTACAATTAAGAGTTTTCTTTGATTATGTAATGTGTAATGTAAATAAAAAGTTTTTTTATATCCAAATATAAATAACCAACAAAAAAATTAATCAGTAGTAAAAAAAATATCTGAATAATTTTTTCGATATAATTTCTTTTAAATAATAATAATTATTATAATAATAATAATATTATAATAATTATAATAATAATATTATAATAATAATAATAATAATAAATAAATAACATGGCGGCAGATAATTCAAAGGATGAAGATTCTTTCGAAGAAGACAATCATTCTAGTAATGATAACAACAAGAATGATTTAAATTATTATATTGAAAATATTAGTAAATCTTTAAGGATCGATTCAACCGATGGATTATCACAAGATGTAAGATTGCAAATTGCAATCAAATTATTAAATGAAGCTTTAAAATTTTATCCCAATACTTTTGACTTGAAGGTAAATTACTATTATTATGATTCTGGCTAGAATAAAAATTATTTTCTTAATTATGTGAAAAAAAATAGTTTTTAGCACATAAAATATCAGTAAGAAAAAGTGAAATGACTCAAGCTATGGAGCAGCTTAATGAATTGTAAGTAAAGCAGTTATTGTTATTTCATCATCATCATCATCATCATCATCATCATCATCATCATCATCATCATCATCATCATCATCATCATCATCATTATTGTTAGTATCATTACTACTAATTTTATTATCTCCACCATTACCATTCTCTTCATTAAAAGCATTGGACATAATAAGTGACCCAATTTGATGAAACAAATTTATATTGTGAACATCTGGTTTGAAAACATTTGGTTTTGACTGTTTTTTAAAAAAAAAAAAATAAACTTTTAGAAAATATTTTTTGTTAGATGATTTACTAAAAAAGATTTATTACTTGAATTATTGGGAGTAAATGTTCATAAAACCCCTTTTCCGAATCTGCTTTTCCAATCTTATCTAATAAAAAAAAATATCATATTTACAAAAATTTTATAACTAAAGAAAAAAAGATATTTTATTTTACCTATAACACCTGTTCCCTGTAATTCAGTCAATTCTTCTTCTGTCCAAAACATTGGTGTTTCAAATTGTTTTGGTAAAATGTCAAAGTAAGGTTTCCATAGGGAATTTTCTTTTTGTGACTCGTACATCATACATAATATAAGTGGGAACCAATGATTAATTTTATAAAGTTTTTTATATTCTTCTGTAGAAACTTCATTTTTAAGTAAAGAAGTTTTTGGAGATAAAAGTATTGAACGGGGAATCTCAAAAAGAACTTCGTCACTCTTTTGCCCCCAAAAGATAAAAATTAATTTTTTTTAAAAAAAAAACAAGTATAAAAAAATATATCAATGAAAATGCAAAAATACCCCAATTTCCTCGACTGCCATCATTCCACGTCCTGCATTTTCGTTTGAATAGTCTTTGAATGCAATTTTTGGTGAAATTATACCTCCATTAGCACAAAACCAATCAACGAAACTTTCATTAATAAGTTCAAAAGAAGTTTTTTCACACATTGTTTTATAAAAATGATCAACTTCATACCTACTTGAATAGGCTGCTAGCTCGCAAAAAATCTTAAAATTATTTATTTCTTGGTGCAAATTTTGGCATTCTCATCATAAAGCACATATTTAGAGCCTTGGCCCAGGACCGAGACATTTAAATTATTTATCAATTAATTCATATTTCACATCTTTCTACTGTTTTTTTTTTAATTGAAACATAAAAAAATCTTTCTATATTTTATTTCGTCATATATTATTTTGTAGTGACTTAGTCTAATAAGCAAAACGTTTTAAATGTTTGATATAGATAAGTAAAATTAGGTAGCTCGCATCTATATATTCTTTAGGCATGCATAATTTCATTACCAATTGACTACTGATCACTTTCCTTTGGTTTAGGAGGATGGCAGTATTCGATTATGTATAACTTAACATGTATGTAGAAATAAGCAAGCTTCGATTTATAATTTTATTTTTTATGCCCAGAGATTTTGATTTTTTTTACACGTCGAATTATTGGTATACAGTCGAATCTAGTGGTTGTATCCATTGATTATCCGGATAATTGGTCATTCACCGAATATCCGTTAAATATTAAATTTATTTAAAAAAAAAATTTTTATTCATCAGGAAAAATATAATAAATTTTTATTCATCAAGATCAAGAAAATATTTTCAACGCACACATTGCATATTTTTTTTAAGAAATACAATTCTTTCAAATAATAATGGGTTCGTTTGGCTGTCATTAAAGAATGTAATTTTATTATATTCTGTACCACCGATTATTCACCAATTATTTGGTGAAAATTTTCAATACCCGATTAACCGGATAATTGGTGAATATCATTCGGCGGATACAACCACTAGTCGAATCTCGTTAACACTAATAAAAGATTACTCAAATCCCGTAACACTGCTTTTTTCCTTCCTTGGGATAGATTGTATGATTTTTGTTTAAATACATCCTCGATTACAAAACTTTTTTTATTTAAAACTAGAATATTTATTGGATTAAATTTTTAATGCAAGAATTTTATTATTAAATAGAAAAAAATGGTCTTTCTACAAACCAAAAAGGCCAACCTTATTAATATATAATATATATAAGTTAAAAGAAAAAAAAAGTTGCTTTTTAGAATGATTTTTGATTAAAATCTCATTAATGCCCAAAGACTTTATTATATTTATTAAAAATATATTCATTATTATTTTTTTAAAAATAATGTAAATATAAAATATTTTTTACAAAATATAATTCAATATATTATTCATATTATATTCTTCATCATTCCAATTGATATCGTAAATATTTTCTGGCATATTCAATCCAATCAAGTGATCATTATGGACATTATCAATATCAATATTATTTAGATTACTTAATATTTGTTTGTTTATCTGATAAACAGATAATTAACAGTATACATATCAACTTGTATACATTACTATTTTTGCCTTTAAAACTAATATGATCACTGAGAAATTGGCTCCAATTAACAACATTAAATATATTTTTTCCTTGTGCTTTACATTTCTTTAGATAAATCACTAGTTGGACTTTTGCATCAAACCACTCATCCTGTAAAGAATCATAAATATTGCCATATAAACTTATTTGCAGATCATCATAGTTGTAGCAATCCTCAGTAAATAATTCCAATGTTAAGAGTTCAATATCTGTCTTATTATGAATATTATTGAAAATTGGTGAAGACACAAAAAACATTGAAAGATTTTACATGCAAGAATAATTGCCTATTACTAAAAATGTTAAAAAACATTTTACAATTTACGAATTATCATTTGTCCTGTTTTTTGGATTGTACCATTGATTTAGAAAAGCATTATGTGTTTAATTAATTAATTATTTGTTATTATTAAAAATGCTAAAAAACATTTTTTACTATTATTATCATATGTCCGTTTTTTTGGATCATTGATTTGTTTGCTTTTAAAGAAAAGTATTATGCATTTACAATTGAATTTATTATTTGGTTACTTCTTAATTAATTGACAATTGAATTGATTATTCTTACTAAAAATCAAGTGTTATGTGTTTAATTAAATTGATAATTGAATTGATTATTTGTTTATTACTAAAATGCTTTGATCACGTCTATACATTCATTTTGCAAAGCTGGATTGCAAGCTTTGTAAATCTTGACTTTAACACTTACTTTGATCAAACCCGCATATATAATTATTGAATAATTGATAAAACATTCATTTTGGAAACTTGATTTGCAAGTTCATAGATCTTGTCTAACACTTAATTTGATCAAACCCGCCCACAGTCTACTCTCTCTATAATGACCACTAAGTAAAATTTCTCAATAACGAACTTCCCTTTTGTCCCTGTTCCAATTTTTTATAATTAATTTCTTTCTCTATAACAACCATCTTAATAAACTCTCTCTATAATGACCAAAAGCAGAGAAATTACATATAGGGACAGAGGGTTTGTTATAGAGAGAGTGAACTTTATATGATAGAAATACTAAGAATATTATTAACTTATAAGTATGCCAATAATACCTTGATTATTTTTTTAAAGAATATCATTCAATATCAAATTCCGATATTTACTGATGCCCCATTACCCAATTTGGCATCATTCAACCAGTAAAAAGGGAACCAATGGATTATAGATAAGCAAAGAAAAATGGGCCTTAAATTAGCACAAAAGAATTTTAAATCATGCATAAACATAACAGCTTGATATCTTGATTGACATAGTGGTGCAGTCTTGCAATTTTTTTATTGTATTTTAAATATAATTA